GATTACCTCGGGTATTGATCTCCGACAACGGCAAACAGTTCGAGGACATCAAATTTCAAGACTGGTGCCGAGACATGGGGATCCGACAAAATTTTACTTCAGTCGCACACCCTCAAGCAAACGGCCTGGCAGAAGTCACGAATAGAGTCATCCTCCGCAGACTAAAGGCATGGCTAGACCAAGCTAAAGGATTGTGGACAGATGAACTACCCAGTGTCCTATGGGCCTGCCGGACCACAGAGAAGACCACCACGGGAGAAACACCCTTCAATCTCACCTACAGCACCGAAGCAGTGATCCCCGCAGAGATCAAAGTACCTACGTTGCGCCTAGAAGCATACAGTGATCAAACAAACGAAGATGAGTTACGTACCAACCTCGACCTACTCGATGAAGTAAGGGACCTCGCGTACATTAGAACTACAGCATACCAGCAGAGAGTAGCTCGGTACTATAACACCAAGGTCAAGAAGCGAAACCTCCGCGTTGGCGACCTGGCCCTTCGTAAAGTTATGGTACCTGAGCCCGGCGCTGGCAAGCTCGGGTTCAACTGGGAAGGTCCTTACCGAGTGAAACGAGTGCTCGAGGAAGGAACATACGAGCTCGAGACCCTCAAAGGGAAACAAGTACCTCGAGCATGGAATATTGTCAACACGAGGCAATATTACTTGTAAGAATCGAGTAGGCCACGAGCCACTCCCAAAGCCTAAGGGCCAGAATACCGGGCTAACATGACCTCGGCATAAGAAGACCCCAATCGCCACTTCGGCTTGGGAGAATCCAAGAGCGGACTACGGGTCCCTCCCTAAGCCTAAGGGCCAAAACACCGAGCTAACGAAGGCCTCGGCATGAAGAAAGACAACTACCTCAATGGCGAAGGCAAAGTATGAAATATTAAAGGCGTAAGCAGCTCGGGTTCAAACTCTACGAAACACAGTTCGTCTTGATACATCGATCGAACTAAAGGATAACCAACCAATGCTTAGTTCGGACGTACATAGTAATCACTTCACAGTATGCCACAGAGGCCCTAAACGTGACATAGGGAGAACGCCTACCGAAGAGCCCTACTTTGGGTAGGTAGCTTCAATAACCCAAATGATGAGATCGCTTTAGCAAAAATGAAAGGAGTTCATCATACTCAGAAAGAGGGGAGAGACTTTCATCGTTAAAAAAAAAAAAAAAAAAAAACAAACGACAAACAAATGCAGTAAAGGAAAATAACAAGTGCAGCAACCGAGCTAAAACAGCTCGGGAAAGGTTTGATCATCATAGGGCACGACCGCCCAACCAAAAAACTGGTGAAAGACCAGGTTTACGGCACCCGGAAGCCACAGAAGCCCAGAGAAACGCCACCTCAAGGATCCGCCTCCTCATCCTCCGGAGAGTCAGGCTCCTTTTCATCCGCCTGGTCTACTGTCTCAGGGGACAGACCCTTCATAGTAATGTCGTCGAGGTTGAGCCCGGAGAACTTCTTCCGAAACAGCTACTGACAGAGCTTGAACCCTGAGCGGTACGAACCCGAACCATACTCTGCCTGGAGATCATGAAATTCCTAGGAGTCTTTAAAATACCAGACCGCCTTCTCTCGCTCAGCCTCCACCATCTGATCAAAGTTTTGGGTCCGATTCAGAAGAGTGGACTCCAACTCCCGCACTTGCTGCCTGAGGAGCTCCCTCTCCCCCACCATCCTCGACGACTCCTCCCTATAGCGTGTGCTTTCTTCAGTAAGCCGAGCGATTTGAGCCTCCTGGTCGTGGACGAGCAGCTCCTGAGACTCGCTCCCCTTGCGAGTGTGATGGAGCTCACCCCAGATCCGGTCGAGCTCAAACTGGAGATTCTGATTGGCAGCACGTTGGTCGAGGGCGTCGACGCGATGGATGCGCGTCTGGAGAGCCATGGCATGGATGGTAGGATTTACCTATCGGCGAAAAAGATCAGAATACAACTATAAAAGGGCAAAACGAGAGGGAAAAAGGGAAAAAGGCCACTTACCACCATGTAGTGGGCAAAGGTGAACGTAGAGAGATCCCCGGGCTCCATGTTTCCCCACTGAGCGATCTCGTCATTATTGATTGCCTTCCGACTCCTCCGGCGAGCTACCAGATAATCGTTTACCCCTTCTCAGTTTCCCACTGGGAACCGGGGATAAGGACGGGGCTGAAAGGGGTTAAAGGGGGCCTCCCCTGGCGGAGAGGGCTCGCTTCCCCCAGGGTTGACCCCACTAGCCCCCTCAGGAGGGGGCATCGGAACCTCGGGTGGAGGAGAGAGCAGGACCGACTCAGTAGACCCGAACTCAATGCTTCCTAAAGGAGGGGTCCGGTCGGGGCGCGTCCTCTTCACCTGGCGTCTCTGGTTGCCCGAGAGAAGGCGGCGCGAATCGGCACTAGACATGATGGCTGCCAAAAGACCACAAGATATTAGTCCAACAGGAAGCAAAATTCATGTGTACACAAGTCACAAGACACTACGCGACCTAAAAGGCCGACCTACTCGGGCTCAAGCCTACCTGCACGAGCTTCTCCTCGGCCAAGTAGTTCGAGCAAAGGAAGCCTACCGACGCCCAGGATAGCATCATTTTTCGAATCTCAATGTTCAGCTCGACCCTGGGGTCCTAGATGGCACCCCTCCAAGCAGTGGGAAAGGGCCACCCCTCGGGGTTATGGACCACAAAGTAGTCCCGCTTCCAGGCGGGGATCTTATTCGGCAACTCGTACAAGAGCTTGTAGCCGCCGTGACGGGGAGAGAGGTAGTAAAAGCGCCTCTCCAGGGGAACCCCAGGAGCAGCATTCTTTATACAAAGGATAGAGGCAAAAATGTCAAAGTCCAAAGGGAGGCAGTACTCGTGGCATAGGGATATAATCCCAACCATGTTTCGAACAGTGTTGGGGTGAAGCTGGTCAACAGTGATGTTGAAGTGGTTCAACACCTCCACTTTCAAGGGGTGTAGGGGAAGACGCAAGCCAACCTCAAGCTGTTCCTGAAAGATCATTATGTCATTGGGACCATGCTCCCAAGGAAAGTTGCTAGTAGGGAGGCTGTAAACCAGGTCCCCAGGAAGGCGAAAGTAGTAGATCAGAGACCTGAGTCTCTCCGCTGTCATTAAGGAAGGGCCAAAGGTATCAGGCTCCCTCCCCCTAGAAGTGGATGCCATGTCGCCAGAGGCCTCCCGAGCCTCCGGGATATGCTCCCAGGCTCTCCCCGAACCCGAGGGAGCATCGTCATCTTGGCTATCGCCCCTGTGGTAAGTATGGCGTGGGTAGCCAAACATGGCTGACGGCGGTTGGGACTCACCAGAGTAGACGGAACGAAGCGGACTGAGAAACTCGAGTAGACTAAGCGAAGTACGCAACCTCAGAGCCAAAAGCAAGATGGCATGGACGGAGATAAGGCCGATGGGGGCCCCCAATTTATAGCTCTCGCCCCTTTCAAACCGACGGCCCGGATCAAAGCAGATCCAACGGTCCACAAGCGCCCTTACCGCACGCCTTCTGAAAACCGAAGGCGATTGGCGACACGTCTTCCACAGTTAAGGTAGTCACAGCCGCATGACATTCGGAATTAAAGGCCACCTTAGCACATTTTCGGAATCCGAAAAGTCAGAGAAGTCAGAAGATCTATTAATTCCCGCAAATGCATTTATTGAAAACAGTCAATCAAGTTTGAATTTCGGTCAAATCAATCCATCGAGTTTCATAAACTCCCCGCGCTAAGGCGGCACTCTTAGCCCGAGGAGTGGAGGGCAATTGATGAAGGATAATTTGACCCGACCTATGGAACGACGACACGTGGACGCTGATTCAGTGTAAGCGACAACTCGGTATTGTGGTCCAATACGACTAAGTGATAGGCCCATAAAGCAGCTCGCTAGATAGTAGCGGGGTAAAGGAGGGGCTCGCCACAATGCGGGCTCAGAGTCCCCCAAGCTACCTCAAGGGATATTCCGATGAAAACTTTAACTTGCGAGCTAAGACAGCCGACTCGCATGAGCTCCCGAACAAGACAAGTCATCCGATGACCAATTCTACTAAGGGTACTTCTGAAATATTCGAAACTCGTTGCAAAGTAGCTCGCAAATGGGTCGCACGAGCATTCCTCAGGAAGCTTCTATTTGATAAATCGTACCAGTCAGACTGGGCCACGTTCCAAACTGACGGCATTCGTCTTACTCTAATTCTCACCTGATGATTAACGGGCCCTGTTGATTATATTTAAAAGCATTATAAAAAAAAAAAAGAAAAAAAGCATTCGTCTTAATTGGACCATTCAAAGACTACAGACTGAACAGAGGAGTGAGAAGACAATTAGGCCAGTGCACAATCTCTTCACAGAATGCAAAATCACATAGTATAATCTGTATTTGGGAACACAGAAGAACGGTGAAAGATGATAAGTTTGGAGGGGCAACTGCTCCCACTCGTTGTAACAGAATAAGACTATGAAGAGCGGCAACTACTCGATTACCACTCGTTATAGCAGAATAACACCACGAAACTAAACTAACAACAGGAGTTGAAGACAACCCAAAACCCAAGAAGACCAGACACCCAAATTATGACTCCACTCTCTCTCTCTCTCTCTCTCTCTCTTGTTTACTCAATTCCGAACTTCTTCTTGAGTACTAAAACGAAATCGTAGACCTTGTTCTGGTCAGGGAGAGATTTTGACACACTCTCCTTCTGCATGCACCGCTTGGCCCAAGCCACAAACTTTGGGCAGTGAGCTTCAATGCTGAAATTCCCACACGTCTCATAGGCGTAGAACCAGCTGTAGAAGGGGACAAGCGTCACATCCACGAAGTCCAAAGCGTCACCCCCAAAGTAAGGCTTGTCTCCAAGCTCCCCCTCCAAGAGCTTCAAGCACTCTATGAACTCTTTCTTTGCTGCCTCTTGGTCTTCTCCTTTGGTAGCCCAAATCCTCCTTCCACAATCGTAAATCTACATGGAAGAAACCAGAAAAAAAAGGGAAGGTAAGTATGAATATGAAGGAGTTAAAGAATACAGAGAGACTGCTCCACACATCAATCTGCCCCAATTTGAAGCAAGATTTTACAAGGTTCAAAACATGGTTAAAGGGGGCACTTGGCCACTTAATTCCACGGTAATAAAAGAACCCAAATGAGAAGATTTCCAGATTACCCATCTGAGAATGGAGAACAAAGAAGACACCCACCCATTTGCAAAGATCTCTGAGAATATAATAGTAAAGGTAAACATTCAGAATAACTTAATCAAATGAAAAATACCCACAATGTTTGAAGCTCTGAAGCACATTAATAATACATGAAAATCGCCTTATCAGGCTTCAAGAAAAACAAAAAACAAAAAGAAAACATGCAAAAGAAGATATCAAATCAAAACCAACTTATCTTCATATTCTCACTCTTTTATTGGGTAAAATGAAAGCAGTAGAACTATGAATTATCATCAAATCAAGGATATAAAATCAACTACTTAACTACTCCAGAAATCAAGAAGAAAAGAAGAAGCCATAAGAAGGCAACAATATTTCATTTCTTTTAGATTTTTTTTCATGCTTAGATTCCATAACAAAGAAACTAACCCACGTAGAAAAGGGAAGAGGAATACAAGGAAAAATAAAGTTCAGTGGGAGATCCACCTTCTTGTCTGTGAAATCAGCCCAGAACCTGGCTTGGGCGCGCTTGTGTGGATCGGAGGGCATCAACGGGAGTTTATCTTTCCAGACCTCATCAATGTACTGAAGAATAATGAGCGATTCGCAGATGGGCTTCCCATTGTGAATCAAAACAGGGATCTTCTTGTGAACAGGGTTCATCTGCAGCAGCAGAGGACTCTTGTTTTGGAGGTCCTCATCCCTGTATTCATATTTGACCCCCTTCTCAGCCAAAGCAATTCTCGCCCTCATCCCAAAAGGGCTTGGCCAGAAATCCAAAAGAATCACTTCATCCGCCATTGTTAACAAATCTAAGGTGCTCAAAGCTATAAACCACTGACACCAGAGAGTAGGCTAATGAGTGAGCGAGTGATTGTAGGGGGAGATGGCTGATATTTATAGCCGTCTCTGATCAACCAATTCTGAAAATTTCTAGCCTTTTCTTTGAATTCAAAAACGTAAACAGGATGTCATTGCTTCCGTCATTATGTTATGTTCTACGCCCTTCCCTTTTGCTCGATTTCACTGATGACCAGCCTGCCACAAACGTCGAGCCATTGGATTGGCTGGTCCCACGCCACTGTGAAAAAGAAACTGATGAGAGAGCAGCCTCATTGACGCATGGAGGTAGTTGCATGAGAGCAGCAGCTTCATTATAGCTGACGGTGGATCTTCTTCTCTTATTCATTGAATCATACACCCTTCGAGCATCGTGCAAATTAGCAAATATCTGGGACAAAAACGTCTTTTGGAACAGTCTAGAAAACGGATCCTTGTAGTTAAATTATTATTTCAAGAGATGCTTAAATAAGATTCTTTTGGGAGCAGATGCTAGCCCTACGGATGTGACTTTTACTTAGTTTTTTTAGTAAATTACAAGATCCTCCCCTTATTTTTCTAACAATCATAAAACCCCCTATGTTTATATTTAGCAAAAACCTCTCTGTACCTTTTAGAAAATATGCGAGACCAAATCAGCCCCCATGAAACTGCCCCCCACAACGTCCCACAGTACATCCCCGCCCTGTATTGGAAATATCTCCGCTGATAATATACCTGGAATGATGATGTCATATAAGGAGATGTTCTCAATACATGGCGGGGATGTACTGTAGGACGTTTGTGGGGGCAGTTTCGTGGGGGGCTGATTTTCCTAGACAGAAAAACTGTCCTAATGTATTTATTTTTTTAAATACCTATTTTACCCTCCCTCCAAAACACTGTTCATTTTCTTCCTAAGAAGTAAGAACTAGAAGCCATCAGCCTTCCATCGCATACCCATGGCCATGGCTGCTCCTAAATAGAATCAATTCCTAAGAGCTTGAGACATGGTCTATCAATTTATCGCCCCTAGTCCCTCTCTCTCTCTTCAAACATAGTCTACAGGAAAAACGAAAGGTTGCAAGCTGGAGTTGCTTTATAGGAAAAACAAAAGGTTGCAAGTTGGGCTGCAACTCGTTACAATATTCAAATGGCCAAATAGGTACTCAAGCCTAAAATAACTAATAGTTTTGCTATATTTTTCAAGGGTCAATGATGAATACCTTCTAAGAGTAATTCCTAACTGCTTCATGATTCAGTAATCGGTTTGGCATGAAGCTTAATTTGATTGATGGGTTTAGTTCGAAGAATTCAGTTTTAAGAAGAAAGAAAAAAGAAATCTCCAATATAAAGTTGAAAGGGGATTCATCTCATGGAATTAAACAAAATCGATGGGTGCCACAAGTGCTATTGGGACTTGATCGGACATCTCTCATCACTACTCCAACTTACATAAGGTGTGCCATCGTCTTCCACCAATTCATGTTTTGTCTCCGAAATCACCCCTTTTCATGGACATTCAACTTTTACATATTTGACGAGTATAAGCTAAATACCTTGAGACACACTCAACACAGACTTGTTAGCTATCACAGATGTAGTCTTCCACCAATTATTCGTCTCTGCAAGTCTAATCTTATCCAATATTCAACTTTGGAATTATTGGCACAAGACAAAGAGATTGAAATGCAAGCTATGTTAGTTAAATACCTTGAAACACACTCAAGCTGGCCCCATTGTAGCGATTGGTGAGGCTGAGATACCACCATGTTTCTCATCATTTTCCTTGTGTGGTGGTGGGTGTTTGTGAAATTGCAAGCGAAGAAGGAACTAACAAAGACTCGACCAAGTGGAGATGGTGCACAAGATTAGGAAGGCAAAGGAGGCAAAAGGCGAGATGTAGCCAAGGCCAGACAGAAGGCCAAGGTAGAGAGAGAGAGAGAGAGTTGACGTCTCTAGTTCTTCGTTAGTGGGAAGAAAATGAATAGTGCTTGGAGGAAAGTTTAATAAATCTACATCTAAATAGATATGCATAAGGGCAAAATAGGCATTTAAAAAAACAAATACATTATTTTGGCTTTTCTGTCTAGGAAGGGAGGTAGCTACATATTTTCTAAAAAGTACAAGAGAGGTTTTTGCTAAAGTATAAACATAGAGAAGGTTTTTATGATTGTTAGAAAACCTAGGGGAGGTTTTTGTATTTTACCCTTTTTTCTTAAACTGAAAATATATTTGAAAAATGACATCTATTCCTTTTGGTTGGATGAAAGAAAGATAAGCAACGAAAGAAACGTACACCAAACACCAACTTGCTCAGGTGAATATACATGAAGTCTTTTCCTACATGGCTTTCTAATGCCTTTTTGAATGAGATATGAGGCATGGCATGATACAAGAGTGTTAACGAGTCTAGATCTGCTCCTCATAGAGCGTGCCTATCCTAGCCGCACATCCGGTACTTTGTATTTATTATTCATGGCGACATATTTCCAAATAGAGGGTGTGATGTTGTTCAATCGGAGGTGTTTCGAATTGAGGTTGCAGTCAAATAATTCTGTTTGTTGAGGCCGAGGTAGAAGGATGAAGCTATACATCAAGATTTGTAATTATAGGAAGAGTTAGAGGCCCGAGGAATTGTTTTCTGGGTAATGCTCAAGTTAGTGCAAGATGATGAGGTTGGCCGGGACGATTAGATTGGAAGAATGCTAGTTCTAAGCCGGGGAGATGATGTGGAAGGGTGCTAAGTGAATTGAGGGTTCCAAAAGTCCCTTACCTCAAGTGGGGAATACCTATTTATAGTCGGCTATCCATGTTTTGGTCGGGTAAGGCTTCCAGGGTTGTCGGAATGAGGTTACCCACCGAGGTCTTCGGGAAGTTCCCTTCTTTGGCAGGGTCCGCTTTCTTGTTTGTGTGGGATACTCCTTCCTAATCACGCTCTTCCATCATGTGATCGATGTCATCGTGGCCCGAAGAGGGCGGCCATGGATACTACCATGTGGTGCCCTTGGCCAACTCATCATCCACCCAACACTCCCACAAATCCAAAGTTGAAGAGTGTGGTTCTCAGCCGCGGCTGGTGGAAGAGTTCTAAAGTCTTCAGTTAAGGAACACTAATTTCTTCGAGCTGGTTGGCCCAGGGTATAACCGGCTTGGAGGGCGAACTGGTCGGTTCAATGCTCATGTCATTTTTGTTATGGGTCAGTAGATACATCGTTTCGTCTTCCTAAGGTGTATGCATGTGCAAAGTGGGGTAACCCATGCTGTTGATTTGGATTGATCTAAGTCATTGGCTGTTTCTATTTAAAGGGAGGTGGCGAGCCATTTCACTTTGTCATTTCTAAGTGAAGGCAATCATAGGAGTTCAATAGGTGTCTAGTCCTCGATTGGTGATTCAGGTGTCTACGATCTACCACTTCGGTAAGATGTCTTCATCTTCCTTCTTGTTCTCTTGCTCTTTCATTTCGTCCGGTTCTAGTACGTTAGGTAGCAAGTCCAAGCAGGGGTCTTATCTCGAGGTCACCGCATTCACAATCCGAGAGACTGAGGCCAATGAGGTCAAGGTCTACGGACTTGGAGGTGAGGGTACCACAGCAGAGGAGGTCGAGGCCCTCCGAGGGGAAGAAGTCAAGGAAACCAATGAAGCTAAAGTAGATGTGGAGGTGATATATGAAGAGGGGCCCAACACTTTTGTGCAGTTCTGTAGGCGCTTCGCTTCTTCTCCTTGTAGGTTATCACCTCGGGATGTGGCCCACATTAGAGCCCTGTATTGCATTCCCAATGAGTACAAGCTGAGGTGTCCTAGAATAGGTGAGAGGGCCACATTGGCTCAACCAAATGAACTCTACATCTATGAGCACAACCTGATAGTTGGGCTGATGTTCCCCTTGAATAATGGCATCTTGATGGTGTTGAGGTGGTATCGTGTCCAGCCAATTCAGCTCATGCTCAATTCCTTTAGGTATATAGTTAGCCTCCTATGCTACTGTACCATTCACGACGTGGACATTACCCTACCAATGTGCACTTACTTCCTACACCTAAAGAAGCACCAACAAAGCTATTATTACTTCTCGGTTTGACAGAACAACAAGGTACTTGTAGGAGCCCCCTCCTCGGTGAAGCACTGGAAGGAGGGGTTCTTCTTTATGCACCACCAGAGGGCTGATCATTCCCCACCAAGTTGTCAATCCCGAAGACCAAAGTGAAGGTGCCAACCGAGGCTGATTTGTCTAGGGAGGAGTTGGCGGTCATCCAGTGGATAGTGAGGGTGGATGTACAAGAGTACACCTCATTTGCAATGTTGATCCATGCTGGGCTGATGGAGCCCCCGACTGATCTGTCTTTACTTTGTAAGTTCTTTATGCTTCTCTTCTTTGGCATTGATTGATTGGTGTTCTTTGCTTGGTAGACATGGTGACAGTTGATGAGGAGAGGACAAGGCGGATGTAGGCCACCACGCAGAGGAGGGCAATAGCCTAGGCAGGGGCGGCCTAGCAGCAATGCTATTCCGAGGCCATGACCCCTCGACCGCATAAGAGGTTGTGGCCTACTAAAGGTGACGTAGTTGACATTGGTTTCGATGGGTCTCCATTGTAGCATGCCTGATTGCGGTTCGTGCCCCGAGGAGGTATCGAGGTCCCGCCCTCTTCAAGTTTGGTGAAGGAAGGGGCTGAAGTGTACAGGCCGAGCTAGACTGTGCGACTAGAGGATACCCTAGAGACGGACGGCGTCCCTAAGCAGATGGACAAGGGCATTCTGTTGCCCAGGATCCATAGGGAGACAAGTGACTATATGAATGGGGTGCTGGAGAGCACAGCCATTTTGGAGACCGTCATGGTAAGACATCTATGTTGTCTTAGCTACTCCTTGGTTTGCTCCTCTGTGCTCATTGACTAGGTGTTTTGCATGCTGCCTGTGTGGTGACGACTTAGTGTTCTCTCATTTGCAGGAAAAGGTGGCCGAGCTGAAGCAAGCAATGGCAGCCAAGGACGAACAGCTATGGAGGTCGAAGAGTCGAGTGCAAGAGCTCAAGGAGGGGTGCGACAAGGCTCAGAAGGTGGCCAAAG